ACAAGCCAAGTGCTTCATTTAGTGCAATAGTAGTCAAGGGTTATTTGACATCATTCAACTTTTACCTTGCCCAGGTAAGGTGCTGCTCCAATGTACAAGCATTGGCACATTAAATTCTCAAAACCTCAGGAAGTGCTATTATTTCCATTTATCAGATGAAGAAACTGAAGCTCAAATAGGTGAAAGACATCTGTCCAAGGTCACACAGTCAGGAAGTGGTGGCACTATATTTGAAACCAAGTCCATCAAACCCCAGAGCCCAATGTCTTCTCTACCGCACTGTGCTGCCTCCCAAAAACCTAGTTTCATTCTCATGGCCGAGCTAGCTACTCTCTCTGGAGAGAAAGGCCCAAACCAGCTACACTGAGCTGGCTCCCTTGAAACCTTCTTTCCCCTGGGTAATGGGCAGAAATAGTTTCATCACCTGATACCCTGTCATTGCATCCTTGGCAGTTTTCAGAGGGCTAATTCAGAAAGTTGGTAATGATCCAGCCCAGGTGATGGGCTCATTCTTCATCCTTCCCACCACCTAACTCGGAAGAGGCACTGATCCTTGTTCCCAACCCTGTGCCCATCTGACATCTGCCACATCCAACCCATGTTTTGTTTTGTTTTGTTTTGTTTGTGTCAGAGTCTCACTCTGTCACCCAGCCTCAACCTGCTGGGCTCAGGTGATCCTTATGCCTCAGCTTTCCAAGTAGCTGGAACCACAGGGCATGTGCCACCATGACTGGCTAATTTTTAAAATTTATTTTAGCCCAGGCTGGTCTTGAACCTGTGGGCTCAGGCAACCCTCTTGCCTCAGCCTCCCAAAGTGCTGAGATTACAGGCATGAGCCACGGTGCCCAGCTTTTTTTGTTTTTAAGAGATAGAGGATTGTTCAGTTGCCCACCTGGAGTGCAGTGAGTTTGACCATAGCTCACTGCAGCCTCAGACTCCTGTACTCAAGTGATCTTCTTGCCTCAGCCTCAGCTTTCTGAGCAGCTAGGGCTACAGGTGTACACCATCATGCCTGGCTAATTATTTTTTGTAGCAATAGGGGTTTCACTATGTTATCCAGGCTGGTATCCAGATCCTTCCACCTTGGCCTCCCAAATTACTGAGATTACATGGATGAGCCACTGAGCCCAGCCCCACATCCTACTTTCCTCTAGTCCTGTGCAGAGCTAAGGAGTCACAGTAGGGCAGGGAAAATGGCCAGGATTCTTGGAAAGAGTAGAAGACCTAGGTATCTAGACCTCTGTCTATTGCTGACCTCCTAGGTGATCTTGGGGAACGCTGTGCCTCTCTCTGGGCCTCCGTGTGAGGGATTGGGCTCAATAGCAGAAGAGCTTTCTCTACTCTAGTGAGCCATGGGTCCATTTGCAATAACTGTCCAGGCTGAAGTAAACAGAGGCCTTGTTATAAAGGACTCAAGACCTCTGTTCATTTTAGCCTGGACTTTATTTGCAGGGAGAGTTGCTTCCATGGGACCCAACTTTATGTTTTTTCATGTGGTTAACTAGTTGTTCCTACCCTCTTACAGAAAAGTCCATCCTTTCTCCCTACTGATTTGTCATGCCACCTGTCATTGTGTATCCAGACCAGTTTCCATGCCCTCTCTTTCATTCCATTGGTTCATTTATCTTGCTGCTATTTTATAGCTAATCTCAGTTTTTGGTAGGGTGAATTTCCCATCTTGCTCTTCAAAATTGTCTTGGCTATTGTTGGCCTTTTTTTTCTTCCTTACATATGTTAGAATAAGCTTATCAAGTTCTACAAACAATGTATTGGGATTGGGCTTGGTAGTATACTGCAACTATAGATTTGGTGAGAATTGACATCTTTATAATACTGAGGTTTCCTGCCCACAGCAACTCCCTTGAGAAGCAATGGAGTGTGACCTGGGATGTGAAGTCAGCCTCGGGCTAGTATCTAGGTTCTGTGATGGAAGACACGTCCCCCATGCAGACATGGAAATCACTTTATGTTTCTGATCTCAGTTTCTACAACTGTAAAATGGGGATGGAAATAGACTCATATCATTAATGGTTATAAGGATTGTATAATGCATATGAAGCACTCAGTAGTTTTCAGACACCTAATTCAGAAAGTTGGGATTACAGGCATGAGCCACGGTGCCTGACTTGTTTTGTTTTTAAGAGATAGAGTCTTGCTCAGTTGCCCAGGCTGGAGTGCAGTGAGTTGGACCATAGCTCACTGCAGCCACATTCTTCATTCTTCCCACCACCTAACTCTGAAGAGGCACTGACCCCTGTCTCCAACCCTGCACCCATCTGGAATCTGTCACATCCAACCCCATTTTTCTGTTTTGTTTTGTTTTTTTTGAGTCAGAGTCTCAGTCTGTCGCACGGGTGCTCAGTGAGTAGAACCTGCTACTGGGAATAGTATCCAGTCTGTTCCTCTCTCCAAAATTGGTATCTGCTTCCTGGATGTGTTGTCAAGGATGCTCCTATCCCAGGTAAAAGTCATGGACTCGTGGGGGTTAATGGGACATAAAACTTCCTGCCACCTCCCAGTATCTTCCCTCATATGGTCCAAGGAGCTCAGAATCCAGGGTTGCACTCCTAACTTTGGCTCGGTGAGGCATTGGGAGAGCAGTTGCTTTTCCCTGGAGTAGGGCAGGGAAGAGCAATAGGGATTCGACCTCCTAGGTCCTCAGTATTGGGTCAGTGTAGGAGAGAACTTGCCTGAAGAAACACCAAGCTATTAGCTTTACCCAGATGGGAAGGACAGACAGAAAGGGAGAGACAGATGAGATGACAGATAAGATGAAGGGAGTAGCCAGACAAAGAGAGCATTCAGGAAGAGGTAATGAGCAAAGTCAGAAGCCCTGTGGAGGTCATCCTGCCTCCGAACTCATGGATACCTTTCAGACAATTTGGGGGGTGGGATGGGGGATGGCCATGCTCACATTACTAGCTCTTCCTGGAGACACTACCTACTCTTCTGCCACCTTCTTCTCCTCTCTGGTCAGTCAGAAAAGGGGCTGTGAGAGTGCTCAGAGGATTGATGAAAAGAGTGTATGGGGATACTCACCAGATAGGTTGAGAGCTCCACCCCCAAGTAGCAGCAGCAGCAGCAGTAGCAACAGCAAAAGCCACTGGCTGCCCATGTTTGTGCTGGTGATGGTCCTGGAGGGTGCTGGGAAGGAGTTCTGGCTCTGCAGGGGAACAGATAGCAGCTCCAAGACAGTGAGGCACTGCTGGCACTGGTGCCACCTCTCATCTGTCTGCTGAGTGCGCCACCCAACCTCAGGTGTCCAAACTCCTTCCCAGCAGACCCCAGGGGGTTTTCAGGGCTGGAACCAACACTGATGAGAGGGGGATGGAGGGTGGACTTTCCCAACAGCTGCAATCAGTGGGCCTCTGGGGGCTGCCATTCCAACTGGTGAATATCCCCAAGGTCCCTAATTGCCAGTCTTTGCTGAATAGTGGGGCAGAACTCTGGGCCTTCCAGACTTCCCTGGCACCCAACACCAGGGAACCTGTGTCTCAGGGACATGCCTAATCCCATTAGACTTTCACTTTCTGGGCTAAGAGCAGACTATTTGATTTTAGAGCTGGAGATAGATTTCACCCTCTCCTCATTGCATAGATAGGGAAAATGAGGCCAAGTGACTTGCCCAAGGACCAGAACCCAGGTCTCCTGTCCTCCAAGGCAGCTCTTTCTATTGACCATGACTGCCACAGCTTTCTAAGACTTCCCCCATTGCCCATCTCAGGAACCTGTTGAAGTTCTCAATGGCCTTTGGTGCAAAGGTCCCAAATGGACTTCACAGATCCCAAGTTCCCACCAGACTTCACTCACCTGACCCACAAAATCCTCTAACTTTCTTCCAGCAAGCTGCGGTGCTTCTTTCCTCCAGGAAACCTTTCAGGATCCACACTTTAACCAATCTCCATTGTCCTAGAATGGAGCTGCCTGCAGTTGCGTGACTTGGTCATTGGTGATCCCATCAGACCAGGGTTCCCCAGAGCAAGGGCCAGTCTCTATCCTCAGGCAGGAATAGAGCAAGTAGGGATGTTTCCTTCATCAAACAGGGACTTCCAACTATGAGGACCAGTCTTTCCCTCCAAAACATTTAAGACCCTAAGGGCAGGGATTATATCTCTACATGAAGTCAGAATGTTCAGAAGTGTGATTTTCTCTCCCATTAGACTGGAAGCTCTTGAAGGCAGCTCTCTCCCATTAGACAAACAAGAATTTGTTTGTTTGAGTTGGAGTCTCACTCTGTTGCCCAGGCTGGAGTGCAGTGGCATGCTCACAGCCACTGCAGCCTAGAGCTGCTGGGTTCAAGTGATCCTTTTGCTTCAGCCTTCCAAGTAACTGGAACTACAGGCACATACTACCAAGCCCGGCTAATTTTTTGATTTATCATAGAGATGAGGTCTCGTCAAGTTTGCCCAGGCTGGTCTCAAACCCATAGGGCTCAGGCAATCCTCTCACCTTGGCCTCCCAAAGTGCTGGGATTATAAGCATGAGTCACCGCACCAACCCTAACAGGTTTTTAAGGAGCAAAGTCTATCTTCCCCATCAGATGTGGAGCAAGTGCCCCAAGGAGTTGGAGATCCACCAGTCAGACACATTGATTCCAACACAAAACTTTATTGTCAATACACATATGCCTGGCCCCACTGGCCTTGCCTTCCTCTTCTTGGCCCACTCTGGTTCAACTCAGCTCCAGGCTAGAGCAGAGGGCCAGGGATAGCCATCCTTAGGCTGATTTCTGGCTCCCTTGGCCAGCGCCTCCCTTCTGTGCTCATCCTTGCTGCAAGGGCTCCCACTCTCATCCAGCATCCTCCATCCTGGCTCCTCTGGCCCTGGGGCTCACAGGCACAAGCCCTGCAGATGCTGCCATCTTTACAGCCCCTAACCTCTGCCCAGGTATGAGGGAGAGGGTGGGCTCAGGCCAGGCTGTGGCAAGCCAAGCCAGAGATGCAGGAAGATGCAGTGGCTGGGTGTGTATAAGCAGGCTTCTTGGCTTCCATCCTGGCCTTTCAGTGGGTGCTCTTGCGTTTTTTAAGGAGTATATTGCTTTTAGAATCGTGAACCTGCAAACCAAGAGGTCTTCTTGTCAATCCCTCTACCCTGACATGACTCTCTCTTACTCCCCTCCTCCAATCTCAACAGCTGCCTCAGTCACTCCTCCCAGGAAAGTCCTTCACAGGTCTAACTCAAGCCTACTAAGTATCCCCTCTGAGCTTGCAAGCCCGGGCTGTATTCCAGTCAGATGGTGTGAGAAGCAGAGAGAGAAACTAAATAATGTGGGTGTGTGCCTTTTTCTCTCCAGAAGCTCAAGGGGAGGCTGTTTTTGTGTACCTTAGACAGGAGTCAGGGGTCCTTGCCCATAATCCCGATCTGGCTCAAGCCATGCACACACAATAAGGTAGGTTTGAAGGCACTAGAGATGCAACTGGCTTGAAGGGCAGAGCCTGATGGAAGGGGGCATGGCCTCTCAGAAGGAAACTGTAGAACCTAACCGAAGGGCATGGGTGTGACAACCAGGGTGCACGGAAGTTTAAGAGGCCGACAAGAGCCCGGCGCGGTGGCTCACGCCTGTAATCCTGGCAGTTTGGGAGGCAGAGGCGAGAGGATTGCCTGAGTCCAGGGGTTCAAAACCATCCTGGGCAACTTGGTGAGACCAGTCTCTACGATAAATCAAAAAATTAGCGGGTGAGGTGGCCTGTGGTTCCAGCTACTTGGAAGGCTGAGGAGGAAGGATCATCTGAGCCCAGCAGGTCTAGGCTGCCAATGCACACCAGCCTGGGTGACAGAGTGAGACTCCAACTCAAAAAAAAAAAAAAAAAAAAGAGGCGGACAAGATCTCGGAATAGACGGAAACCCTGACAAAAAAAGCCACTGGGTCAGAGGCTTGACTGGGCTGGGCTGAGCTAGGTGAGTACTGATTGGGTGGGAGAGGGAAGACGCACCTTGTCCAAGACAGAGAGGGCAGTGAGCAAGTCTAGCTGCTGAGTCACTTCCTTGGAGGACTTGCTCTCCAACGACAGGTTCAGCGACAAGTGCCTGTTCAACAGCTCTTCCTCCTGCTCCTGGTTAAAGCGGATGGAGCGCACCTCCTCCACGATCCTGGGGGCGGAGCGGTGAATGCCTTCCCGGGGCTGCGGGGCGGGAGGCAGCCCTCCCACCTCTTCCCTGGCGCCCACCCCCGCATCGCTCTCACTGATAGAGACCCCGCTTCGCAGCCCTGATGGAGACCCAGGCTGGGCTGTACCCTTGTGTGAGATGAGAGGAACACGGAGGTCTGGATTCCAGCCCCTCCAGTAGGCTAGGGGATTCTGGGCAAGTCACTTAACCTCTTATGTTCTGCGTTATAAAATGGTGAGGGCGTGAGGCCAGAAGAATCTGAGCCTCCACCTAGCCCTGACTCCCGGAACTCGGGGCACCCCCAGTAACCCCCCTACGTGTTGAGCTCATCTCGGATCTCCTTGTACTGCATCAAGTTCTCCTGTATTGCCTCGAGCACCAAACAAAAGTTGTCCCACGTGTTTTCCGAGAGGTTCGACATGGGGCCCCCCACAAGCGGTTCCTGGAGGAGACCAGATTTCTCCGAGCGGGCGACTACACAGTGCACCAGTGGCAGCTCGTTATCCTCGCCCTCCTCTTCCTCTGCGTCTGTCTGAGGAGGGGGGAATGGAGAGGGGACGGCATAGCTCAGGCACGCATGCCCTCCCCCACTTTGCTGCTTGACTTCAGGGAGGATGAACCTCTTGGGACTTAAGGGTTCCAATGTGCCTCTCATTTCAGCTCCAATAAATCTCAGCCTCCCAACCTACTGTGGAGCTCAGCCTCAAATGCGTGAGGCCTTCTCCCACCTCCTTGGAAACTCTCACCCTTTTTCAAAATTGAGCACCCTCCCCCTTCCCCCTCCCCCACCCAGATTTCATCCCTGATAAATCCTACCTAGCAAACTTCTCAAGTCCTACCTACTCTCAAGGTGGGGCCCCCAGCCCTCCACCCTTTTGGAAGTACTCCTCTCTCTTCCCCAACCCACGGAAGCAATCCCCCTGAATGAAGTATACTTTAGCTAACATTTACTGAGTGCTTACTATGTGCCATGCACTACTTGATTACTCATATAATCCTCATAATAGACCTATGAGGTAAGTACTATTATTATTCCCATTTTACAGAAGAAATTGAGGCTCAGATTGGTCAAATGCCCTAAGGTCAGTTTTGAGTTGCCATAGAAACACAGCATGTAGGAAATCTACACCTCTCAGAAACCCCAGGTGGTGAGTGGGCGCACTCAAGATAGAGGCTGTTGCCTCCAGGTCTCCGGTTTGACTTTCTCCAGACCCTAGGGTGTGTAAGCACTCACATATGTGCACATATGCTCAAGTCCATTCTCATACACACACTCCCCCTCCGCTCTTCTGCCCCCTCCCGCCACGCACCTCACTGTAGATTATTTGATTCTGTTGGTCCTGCTCTCCTGCCTTCACCATTTGCTCCAAATTGGTGGTCACCACGACGACAAACAGGTTGATACCAATGAAGGCACCAAGGGTGATGAAGATGGCAAAGTAGATGGCACCCCCAATCTCCATCACATACTCCCTCTTCTCCATCCTGAAGATGACAGGTAGGGGGTCCATCACTTCCCTGGCCCTTTGGCCCTGAGTCTCCTCACCTATAAAATGGGAACACCATCCCAAGGCCTTCTGGGCCTTCTGCCTGTGTCACTGCTGTTGTGCAGATCCAATCCCCTACTCCTGTCTCTGCAGCTGCTCTCTGCTGAGCACCCTACTGTGCCAGACAGTGGGCTGATTCTCAAGCCAGCCCTGCAAAGTGAGGATTTGTACATCATCATTAAGTTTAATTGAATAGCTATACTTTTTTTTAGATCGGAAAATATAGTTTATTTAGAAAGTAAATTAGAGAGAGAGAGAAAGAGATTCACTTTCCAAGTTAGGAGAAGGGGCCAAAGCTTAGGAATCAAGGTGGCGGCCATAACTCCAAGCAATAGCCTATTAACTATATACTCTTTTTTTTTTTTTTTTTGAGTAGGAGTCTTATTCTATCTCCCAGGCTGGAATGCAGTGGCACACTCACGGCCACCACAGCCTCAACCTGCTGAGTTCAGGTGATCCTTCCGCCTCAGCCTTCCAAGTAGTTGGAATTATAGGTACGCACCACCATGCCCGGCTAATTTTTCTTGATTTATAAAGATGAGGTCTTGCCAAGTTGCCCAGGGTAGTCTCGAACTTGTGAGCTCAGGCAATCCTCTCACCTTGGCCTCCTGAAGTGCTGGGATTATAGGCATGAGCCACCATGCCTGGCCAAGCTGTACTCTTTATATATGGTTTTCTTTTTTTTTTTTTGAGTTGGAGTCTCACTCTGTCACCCAGACTGGAGTGCAGTGGCCGCTCCAGATCACCACAGCCTCAACCTGCCGGGCTCCGGTGATCCTTCTGCCTCAGCCTTCCAAGGTCTCACCAAGTTGCCCAGGCAGGTCTTGAACCCGCGGTCTCAGGCAATCCACTCACCTCAGCCTCCCAAAGCGCTGGGATTACAGGCTGAACCACCAAGCCTGGCTATGGTTTTCTTATTATAAAAATAGCTCAAACTTAGTATAGAAAGATCAGGCCGGGCTCGGTGGCTCAGCCTGTAATCCCAGCACTTTGGAAGGCCAAAGTGAGAGGATCGCCTGAGCCCATGGGTTCGAGGCCAGCCTGGGAAACTTGGCGAGACCTCATCTTTACAGTAAATAAAAAAATTAGCCGGGCATGGTGGTACATGCCTGTAATTCCAGCTACTTGGAAGGCTAAGGTGGAAGGATCCGCTTGAGCCCAGCAGGTCAAGGCTGTGGTGGCTGCGAGCGTGCCACTGCACTCCAGCCTGGGCGACAGAGTGAGACTCTGACTAAAAAAAAAAAAAAAAAAAAAAAAAAAGCAGAAGTAAGCTGGGTGTGAGGGTGCACACCTGTAGTCCTGGCTACTTGAGAGGCAGAGGCAGGAGGATTGCTTGAGCCCAAGAGTTCTAGACTAGCCTGGGCAATATAGTGAGACCCTTGTCTCTAAAAAGAAAAAGGAAGAATAGAAGACATCTGTGTCAGGTTCTATGCTAAGAGATTATATAGATTTTTCTCTACTGATTCTCACAGCAATCCACGACATAGTTAAGATTGTATTACAGTTCCCAGTTTACAGATGCGGCAACTGAGGCTAATAAGAAAGTTGAAGTAACTTTCCTGTCACATGATTAGTATAGTGGAGCAAAGACTCAAAAGCACAGTCCAACTTTATTGCACAGTCTGTGATTCTTCCCCACGACCTACATCATAATGGACAATGACTGCAGAAGCCCTTTACCTACTGAACTTGTATGCTCACATAAAGGCAATAAAAAGAAATCAGTCAAGGGATCTACTCCCTGGAGTAGATCAAAAATAAATAGAATAAATCAAAAATAAATAGGAATGAGACTCAATGGAAAAGAGGTAAAGAACAGAACACAAAAATGCTCGTGGACAGTGGGTCTAAGAATGAATTAAATGAGACCTGCAGTTCCCAGGAGTCCAGCCAGTATAGCGGGCTCCATTGTGGGCTGGGAGGCTGCTCTGTAACCTGAGGCACAGCCACAGACCTGCTCCCCTGTCCAAGGTCTAGCTACCTAGCTGTTAGCAAACAGAGTCAGGTAGGACTTTGAATATGTCGAGTTTCAAGGGGGACAAGACTTCAAGTACCACAAGCCCAGAGGTCCCACCCCCAGGCATTTCATTTTTAGCAGTTTAAAACTCTGGGAACCCCCTCTTCTGCTGGGCCATTCTCATCCCAACCCCTGGAACCCCAGCTTCCACTCCTCAACCAGTTTCTCTGCCCCCACAGGAGCCCCAACCCCTTCCTTGCCAGGCTGGGATGAGGACCTGGAAGCCTCACCAACACTCACTGGAAATCGCTGTAGATGTCCACCCAGCCATCCTGGGTGATGCAGATAAAGAGGGTGTACAAGGTGACATGCATGTTCTGGAAGTGCTCAGGCACGGATGCACCAAAGAGTGTGACTCCAAACACAGAGAACACCTGCCAGAGAGACCAAAGCCCTGCTCTGACTTCACCCAGGGGCCTTGGAGACTGGACATGCAGATGTCCTGCAAATGGACGCTCATGAATGCTGCCAAGGGAATCACAGGGATTCAGGCTCATAGGCCTCTCTTCTCCTCCAGACAGCCCTCTATTCCCAGTGGTCCAGGGGCCCTGTTCAGGGAAAAGGAACTGCTACGGGTAGGGAGGGTACTGACCAGCATGAAGAAAAGGATGAGAGCCATGATATTGGCCATGTCAGGAACCGACTGCAGGATGACGCGGATGATCCGGGCCAGGGGCTCCACCGCCATGCACATATGCACCAGACGAAGTGCCCTGTGGCAGAGTCTCTCAGGGGTGTCCCCCAGTTCTTCCTAGATCCATCATCTCTCCTCACTACCCCCTACCAACTGCCCAGAGAGGCTGAGCTGATCCCCAACTGGGGAGCATCCCCCAATCTCATTCCTGAGTTCCAGATAGGTCCCCCTCATTTTTTCAGAGCTCCCAGCTCACCTGAGGGTATAGCTGATAGCGATGATATTTAGTTCACGAATGAAGAACCCCAAGAGCAAAATAAAGATGATAAGGAAGTTGAGAATATTCCAGCCATCCTGGGGGGTGGGGCAGCCCCAGCGAGGTCTGTCAGGTTCAGTCCATGGGGGGCATCCTGAGTCTGCCCTCCCCACACCCCAAGGATGAGAGGGCTCAATACATAAGAGACTATAAACATAAAAAGATCACCCTCTCAGAGTAGGACCAGTCAGCTGCCATGCACTACTGTTACCCTATTGCCCCCCAAACATATTACAAAACACACATGTACTCATTGTCCCATACAGTGCAATCTCAGAGACACATAGTGAAGACCCTCATGTACATGCAGCTAGTCCCTAAGCTGAGTGCCCACCTTGGCTAACAAGTACTGAAAATGGTCTTGCTGACTGGGCTTGGTGGCTCAGCCTGTAATTCCAGCAATTTGGGAGGCTGAGGTGAGTGGATTGCCTGAGCCCATGGGTTGGAGACCAGCCCGGGAAATTTGGCGAGACCTCGTCTCTACAATAAATCAAAAATTGGCTGGGCATGGTAGCACATGCCTGTAGTTCCAGCTACTTGGAAGGCCAAGGCGGAAGGATCGCTGGAGCCCAGCAGGTCAACGCTGGGGTGGCCGTGAGCATGCCACTGCACTCCAGTCTGGGTGACAGAGCGAGAATCCAACTAAAAAAAGAAAATGGTCTGGCTCTACAGTTAGGTGGCCCAAAACACTTGGCTGCTCTTGCATCTGTGTGACACACTACAATTATTAATAAAATGGAAATAAATATTAATAAAAACATCAAGGAATGATGCTTCAGTAGCCAGTTCTGAGGTGAAATGTTCTTACAGTACAAGAAGGGAAGCAAGCCAGGTATGGTGGACTCACGCCTGTAATTCCAGTGCTTTGGGAGATGGAAACAAGAGGATTGCCTGAGTCCAGGGATTTGAGACCAGCCTGGGCAACTTGGCGAGACTTTGTCTCTACAATAAGTAAAAAAAAAAAATTAGCCAGACATGGTGGTGCATGCCTGTAGTTTCAGCTTGGAAGGCTGAGGTGGAAGGATTGCCTGAGCCCAGCAGGTAGAGGCTGTGGTGACTGTGAGCATGCCACTGCACTCCAGCCTGGGCGACAGAGTGAGACTCTAACTAAAAAAAAAAAAACAAAACAACAAACTTAAAAAAAAAAAAGGAAGATGACAAATATTGCAAGCCCTTTGTCCAATAAGGCATAGGGAGTGAGGATAGGAAAAATTTTACCAATGTTCCCTCTTCTAGAAGTCTGATCCGCAGATACTTGGTAGAGGTACAAAATGACATTTGTATAAGACTGAACATTATAGTATCCAGAGATCAGAGACTGGTGGGTAAACTAAGGCACATTCACTCAGTGGAGAAAAATAAGATATGTTCTTCATAGTGTATATTCCACTCCAGAACTGGGGGAGGTCTGGAGCAGGGACTGGAACTGGAACCCAGGGAGGTTGCACTTTAAGTACAAGTGATTTTCTGCCACAGCACACATCTCAGAGCTCACACACTCTTTCTCTACACACACACACACACACACACACACACACACCCTTCAGTTTGCAGGGGGAGGGAACTGAGTGGGATGCAGTCCTCCAGGGAGGAGTAGGGGTGATGGCAGGAATGGCCCAGGATCTCACCTTCCAGAAAAGCCAGAAGCCATTGAGCCAGCCGAGGAGAACCTCACAGAGAAGGATGGTCAGCACAATGTCATCTATGGTAGAGAACAACTCATAGTGTTTCTACATGGAAGACAGAGGAAAGAGCGGGACAGAGAGGTCAGTGGAGTCGGGCCTGGGTGGGCCAAGGGAAGAGGACATCTGCAGGGGAGGAAAGGCCCATGTTGCTGTCACTCTAGGTCCTCAGCATCCTTGTTTCTCCCTTTACAGCATACTTTGTATGTGATGTGCCAGGCACCATGCTAAAGCCATTCACACAGCAGTGTTACCATCACTCCTAAACTGCAGAGCAGGTTTCATTGCCAGCTTACAGTTGAGGAATCAAAGGAGTGCCCGTGTGCACAGCTACTCGATGGAGACTGTTGTCTGACTATAAACCTTTGCCCCTAACTACTAGAGTGGGAAACTTTGGGAAAGGGAGGTGGGAGAGGCAGAACAGGCTCCAGGGTTGGGAGAAAAAGTCTGGCCTCTGAGGATGGAGGACACAAAGCCCTGTCCATCCTCTGGTTCTGACCTTCAACTCCCCTAAGGTAGCTCTGTGTGGATAATGCATAGACACCTCAAGAACCACACCATTCAGACCTCTCCTGCTGCTCTGACTCCCCAAACCCCCCAGCTCAGGCCCGGCCAAACTCCTGGGTCTTCTGCATGCCTGGGTCCAGGACATGCACCCTGGATGGATGAACTGGGAGGTGAATGACTGGGGTCTGTTCAACCCCAACTCACTTTCACCCAAACTTGATCCTACTCCTTCAGGTTTCTTATAGCTGTGACCCCCAGTACCAGCACCTATAGCTTCAACTCCACCTGGAGGTCACCAGAGTCACCTTGTCTCCTCCTTTTCTTTACCCCAATGTGCAACACACTCCATGCCTCAGGGCTCACTGCAACACATGGGGCTTCCTGTTACACCTTGCCACCACCTCCACTCACTAGCCAATGTGGCTGGGCAGAGCTTCTTAAACCCAGATGAGAGGTTAGGGTTTATGGGCTCCCTCTTTGTTCCAAATTCCCAAAGGGCTGTCATGGACCATGGATGTGTCTGTCTACAATGAGGAAGGGCTCCCCCCTCCCCCCATCACCTATTCCCTCAGCTCCACCCCGGCCGGGCATGGTGGCTCAAGCCTGTAATCCCAGCACTTTGGGAGAATGAGTTGAGGGGATTGCCTGAGCCCAAGGGTTTGAGATCAGCCTGGGCAACTTGGCAAGACCTCATCTCTACAATAAATCAAAAAATTAGCTGGATATGGTAGCATGCGCCTATAGTTTTGGTTACTTGGAAGGCTGAGGCAGAAGGATCACCGGATCCCAGCTGGCTGATGCTGGGGTGGCCGTGAGTGTGCCACTGCACTCCAGCCTGGGCAACAGAGTGAGACTCCAACTCAAGAAAAAAAAAAGGTCCTCCTGCCTACTACAAAGCATAGGTATTCTAGAGATAAATCAGAGTTGCCTTCCCTACCCACAAGCCTTCCACAGCTTCCTGGGCCTGCAAGATTAAATTCAACACCAGTCTGGCATTCACAGGCTTCTAGGATCTGATCTTCATGGACACATATCCTAAATCAGGGCTTTAGCATTTTGGATTGACCCTATAGTAAGAAATATATTTTACACTTTACATCAGAACCCTTTCTGTGCTTTTCTCCCTCCCTCTCTCCCCTTCCCACTCTTCCTCTCCCTCCCCTCAGTTCTATTTCACTCTTCTCCATTCTATATCAAAGTATTGGCATCTACACTCTGAACTGGTTTCATGGCCCATCCATGGTTTGCAATCTGCCCGCCACTCTTCTCCTGCTGCAAAGCTCTGCAGTTGGGTTTCTGCCTCTGCCACAAGAGACAGCCCTTGCAGGTCATGAGAAACCCAAGGGACACATTCTAGTCTTTCTCTTGCCTTGTCTCCTCACCAGGCCTGGCCCCGTTGCTTGCTCCCTTGACCATCCCTTTCCCAGGTTCCGCCCATACCACCGGCCATCGTCAAAGTCTTCTGTCTCCTTTTTCTCCCCTCCTCCATTTCTACCCTCTGTTTGGAGGCTGTCCTCCGCGCTCTGCTTAGCCCTCTTCTCCTCTCACTCCACACTCTCCCCAAGCAGTTTCCTCCCTTCCTCAGCCTCAGCATCTTCCATCTCACCGCTGGCAACTTTCACATCTCCATCTCCATCCTAGGACCCTCTGCAGTGTTCCAGCTCTGACCTCCAACTCCCATCGAAACAGCTCTGTGTGGATAGTGCACAGATATCTCAAACCCCACACAACACACACCTCCCTCAGCATCCTCCCCACACCCGCTCCCCATGTCACAACATAAACACCACCTCACCACAGTGGTTCAAGCCAGAAATGTCACTTTTTGCTCTCCCTTGTTCTATATGCATGAGATGATGACATATGGCAACGAAGGTGGCATATAGAAAGTGCTCACTAAACACTAGCTCTAAAAAAAGTCAGGCCAGCGCAGTAGCTCACGCCTGCAATCCCAGCACTTCGGGAGTCCAAGGTGGGAGGATTGCTTAAACTCAGGAGTTCAATACCAGCCTGGACAACATAGACCTCATCTGTACAAAAAATTTAAAAATCGTCTGGGCATGGTGGTGCATTCTTGTAAGCCCAGTTACTTGGGAGGCTGAGGCAGAAGGATCACTTGAACCCAGAGGTTGAGGCTGCAGTGAGTTGTGATCGTGCTGTGGTGAGCTGTGATCGTGCCACTACACTTCAGGCTGGGAAACCGTGAGACCTGAACTCAAACATAAATTAATAAAGGGAATAAAGAAAATCATTCAGGAATGTCCATGGTTTGGACCCTAGAGAGCTTCCAAATGCACCTGATGCTTTGTACTTACTGCCACTGTCCTGATCCAACCCCCATCATCTTTCATTTGAACATCTGCAGCAGAGTCCTGCCTGGTCCATCTTCCCCCGTTCTTGACCCTCTCCTTTCCACTGTCTCTCTGTGGCAGCCAGTGTGTGTGTGTTTTGTTTGTTTGGTTGTTTGAGTTGGAGTCTCACTCCGTCACCCAGGCTGGAGGGCAGTGGCACGCTCACGGCCACCCCAATGTTGACCTGCTGGGATCCAGTGATCCTTCTGCCTCAGCCTGCCAAGTAGCTGGAGCTATAGGCATGATTTTTCAAATTATCAATTGAAAAATTGATAATTTTTTCAATTTATTGTAGAGATGAGGTCTTGACAAGTGGCCTGGGCTGATTTCGAACCCGCGGGATCAGGCAATTCACTTGTCTTGGCCTCCCAAAGTGCTGGGATTACAGGCTAAGCCACTGAGCCTGGCCCGGTGTGTGTTTCCTAAAACATGTGTCTGGTCATTTCACTCCATTGCCTTAAATCCTTCCCAGTTTTCCACTGACAGGATGAGGGCAATGAGCCCTGTGTGATCTGGCTGCTGACCACCTCTCTGAACTCACTCGCCACCACCACACTGGACATCTTCAAAATATCAATTTTAATTAGCACAATACATGTGTGTATACTTCTTGTAAGAAATTAAAACACCAAGGATAAATCACACTGAACTTGAGGTGGAACCCACAGAACTCTCTCTCATGCTGTTTCTTCTGCCCAAAATACTGTTCCCCACCTCTGCCTGGCCAACGCCTACTCATCCTTTACTCTCAGTTTGTGTCATTTTCTCCAGGAAGCCTTCTCCCACCTTTAGATTAGGTTCCATTGCCTTCCTTGAGCTTCCATATACTCAGGGTACTACTTGGGCATTTGCAATGACATGTTTGTGTATATCTGAGACAGGAACTGGGTCTGTTGTGCTTAATACCCCTGGAACCCTGGCACAGAGCACAGTTCAGTGCCTAACACAGAGTGGTTCTCCTGTAGTGACTGCTGATTAGAATTGGATACCCTGCCCCACCAGGTGCTCATTTGCCTTCCTCTGCTCACACCATTCTTCTCCTGCTCTTCCTCTAGAAATCCAATACATTCCTCAAAGGTGGGCTCTGGAGCTCCCTCCGCCATGAAGTCTTTCTTGATCTCCTGATCCCTAGAAGGTCAGAGCTGAAAGACCCTTAAGGAGCATCCAATCCAACCATTGTAGGCAGAAGGGGAGCCTGAGATTGGGAGAGGGAAGTGCTTTACTAGAGCCGATGGGGCAGAGGTCAGGTTGGCGTCCCACCTGGCCAAGAGCAGAGTTGGTACGGAGAGCGATGGTGATGGCATTGATCACCAGCAGCAAGGCCAGCAGTAGTTGAAAGGCTGGATGTCGCAGCAGCTGCTTGACATACAGGCGAGTGATACGCTCCTGCGTGTCCCAGAGGTCCTGGGAGAGCACGGGACCTTCCTTCAGGCGGTTGTCACACCAAAGGAGGCTCCCAGTGAATGAGGGTTTTGGGGGATCTTACTCTAGGGTGGAAGTGCCTGAGAAGGGATCATGGAATGGGGGCTTTAGTGTAGAGGTCACTACCTAAATGGCCACTAAAAGTGAGTCACTGTTGAGGTACCTTTGGGGAGGTCATTCCAGGAGAATCTCTTGGGGTCTCTGATGGCGATGACTGTTATTACCTAGGGTTTCCTGTGGGGGAGCACTGCCAAACTATTACTAACATATCATAAGGGGTGGGCCCTCTGGGGGGACGTTTAGAGGGCAGAGTTACCATGAAGGCCTGCGCCCACGAGCATGGCTGCCGAAGGGCTGCTGTGGGGCAAGGATTGTCCTTACCCTTCTAGTCATGATTTCCCTGCGGTCGATGAACACCTGCTCCTCTATCCGGGCATACTCATGGGCGTTCCTCTGCAGGATAGAGGGGCAGCCACTCAGTGCCAGCCACTGCCCCTCCAGTCCTTCTGCACCCTCCCCCACCCCAGGACATCAGCGTGGGCAGTGGAGTCGAGTAGAGGCCACCTACCCGCCTGGTCGAATGTCTGACACTGGTGGTATTGATCCCTTGCTGCCTCCGGACCTTTTGGTTATCCATCATGGTTGCTCAGTCTCCTCCTACTCGTCGAAGAAACTTCATTCCAAGCAGTCTTGCGCCCCCTCGTGGTGATATCACAGAGGTCTCTGTGACCTCCCGTCTTCTGCATTCCATCAAAGAATTCCAACCCTGAGAGAAGCTCCCTCCGCTGGTCGCCCTTCATATTCCTCAAAGGAAGCCAGGGATGCTGTGGGGCGGCTGGCTGGGGTTGCAGGCTGATGGGAGTAGGTCAGGCCTCCCCTGCACCTGAGTGGAGTCACAGGGACGAGTCCCTGCCCTGGATCCGGGAGCTGGAGGTGAGGCTGGTCTGAGGAGAGTTGTTTGCCCTAGCACCTTCCCCAGGGTGGACCCTGACCTGCACCCTTCCCCACCTGCTGCCTCATCCCACCTGTCCAGTCTCCAGGGCTGTCTCCTCCCGCTTGTCTTTCTTTGCAAGGTGTGTTTTCACCTCTACAAAGTCAAAGTTTCTCATTTTTTCCCTAAGGGGAATGGAGTGGGAGACCACCGCTGGCCTTTGAAGGGCCAGGGAGAGGTAGACATGAGTAGGAGCCCTCGCTAGCCGTGGCCAACTGTACTTCATCCTGGCAGGCATGGAGCTCAGGTCCAGAGCCCGGGTCAATGGGCCACACCAGGGGTCAGTCACCCACCCTCTAGCCAAGAGCAATCACTCTAGTCCCCTCCGGGAGGCAGATTCCTGATTCCAATATGGAAGCCAAGGCACAGTAGATTCATTTTTAGAGAAATTGACTTTATTTAGTCGGAAAGCATCCACAATGTAAAATAAAGAACGCTTCTACAGGTCTGGTTTGGGGGGGTCTGCTGAGGCTCTGAAGGGGGCAAGACTGTGCCACCACAGATCTGAGGATGCGGTAGGAGGCTCTGACAAGGGAGGAGAGGATGGCACAAAGCTCACTCCACTTTATGCCACTCCAGGAAAGATAGGAGCAGGAACGATGGGAGACCAGGCAGAGGGATCAGCTTGGGGGAGACTAGCATTACTTCCCGCCCTGAACAGAATCCAGGAATGCTCTGTCCTAGACATGTCAGAGACTGGGACTGAGGCAGTCCTTGGGTCAGAGGTCAGGAGCCAGGGTGCTGGCTGGGGTCAGGAGTCAGGAGGTCGGATGTTGCTGTCTGGGGTCAAGGGGCAGAGATGTGAGTGCTCCTCGGGGTCAGAGGGCAGGGGGTGGGAGGACGGTTCTCTGGAGTTCCAGGTCAAGACGTGGGAGCTGCCCTCAGCCTGCATCCCTCCCCAGGCTGCCAGGTTCTCTGAGTACAGCTCCTGGTTTTGCTCCTTCCACCGGCGGAACTTCTCTCCAGTTAGCTCAGGGTCGTCCAGCACCTCCTCCAGGGCCTGCAGCTCCTGCAGCTTTGCCTGTGAGGGCAGGAAAGCTGAGGTGCCTTGACCACCCGGGGGGGCCAAAGCCTGACCCCACAGCAAACTCTGGTGTCCGGTGTCCAGAGCCCAGAACCTGATCAGCCTGGCACAAGAGGCCCAGGTGAGAACTCAGATCCCAACTCAGAACCCAGACACATGGCCCAGTCCACAGCTGAGCCCAAACAGAAGCACGGAGTCCAGAACTAAGTCCAGAGTTGAGGCTGGAGTTTGAGGCCAGGAGGAAACTGAGAACCACAAACCAAAGCCTGAAGCCCAGAGCCTAGTCCCTTGCCGTGCCCAGTGCCCCACACTGACCTTGAGTGTGCTCTGTAGTGCCCGCACACGGTGCACGTGCTCATTGAGCTGGGGGTCTTTGTTGCGCCGCATGAAAGAGCTCCTCCACTGTTCATGGGTCAGGGACTGTGGCTTGCCCAGAAGGGATACGCCGCCCTGCCTCAGCCCCTGTACCATTCCTTCCAGTGCCCCTTCACTGCTGTCTGTGGGGGGGGGGGGGGGGGGGGATGAGAATGTGTGTACCCCAACCCCTAGCCCCCAGCGCCCAGCCCAGCACCTGTTGGAGAGTCGAAGGAGGTCCGTGGGCTGTGCTGTGTTGGGGTGGCTGCAGGTGATATGTCTCCGTGGAGTGGACTGCAAGCCTGGGCAGGGCTGGGCTGCAGGCAGGGCCGAAGACGGGAGAGTATAGATCTGAGTGCCACGCCCTGTTTACCCCCATCTCCTCCCCCCAGCGGCCTCCTACTCACCGAGGCTGAGCGGGACCCAGCCTCCTCATCAGGGTCTTCTGCTTCCGTCTCACTGTAGCAATCTGGGGTGGGAAAGAGCAACTGGGGAACCCATAGAGTTTTGGGAGGCTCAGGAGTGGGCTGAGGCATTTGAGTTCCTAGCCTCTATCACAGGAAAGGCAGAGGCTCTGGTTCCTCCTAATCAACACTGTGAGACACTCACCTTCCTCTCGGGGTGGGGGGACCCGGCCTGGAGACTGGTACTTGGAGATGCAGGTAATGAGATGACGCACCCACCTGTGGAGCAAATGGGTCTCACGGCATTTCCATTCACTGAGACTCTACTATATGCCAGAAGCTTTTTACTCACACTATCATCTTGATTTTTTATTTTTTTTAACTTTTATTTTTGCAGAGATGAAGTCTTGCTCTGCTGCCCAGGCTGGTCTCCAACTCTTGGTCTCATGCAATCCTCCCACCTTAGCCTCCGTAAGTGCTGGGATTATAGGTATGAGCCACCATGCATGGCCAATCTGGTTTTGGCTTTTTTTTTTTTTTTTTTTAAGGATAGAGTCTCTGTTGTCCAGGCTAGAGTGCAATGGAGAAATCATAGTTCACTACAGCCTTGAACTCCTAGGCTCAAGCAATCCTCCTACCTCAGCCTCCCAAAGTGCTGGGATTACAGGTGTGAGCCACTGCACCCAGTCCCATCTTCTAATTTAATCCTCTGAGCAACTCTGAGAGGCAAGAACTCTTTATTTATTTATTTATTTATTTATTTTTGCGTTGAAGTCTCACTCTGTCGCCCAGACTGGAGTGCAGTGGTGTAGTGGCCGCTCCCAGCCACCGCAGCCTCGACCTGTTGGGCTCCGGCGATCCTTCCGTCTCAGCCTTCCAAGTAGCTGGAACTACAGGCGTGCACTATCATACCCGGCTAATTTTTTTTGATTTATTGTAAAGATGAGGTCTCGCCTGCCCAGGCGGGTCTCGAACCCGTGGGCTCAGGCAATTCACTCACCTCAGCCTCCCAAAGGTGTGGGATTACAGGCTGAGTCACTGAGCCTGGCTGAGGCAAGAACTCTTATTCACCCATTTTACATATGGTGAAACTGAGGTTTAGAAGAGTTCCTTGACCAGCTACTCTCAGAGGGCTGGGATTTGCGCCCAGGATACCAAGCAAGCAGAGGATGGGAGTTATGTAAGAGTAGGGTGGGGAGGCTGGCACTCACATGCTCAGATCTGTCAGGGTATCAGCAGCAAAGATGAAGGGTTTGTACATGTCATGGGTGAGCTGGAACACACTGCCAGGGAGCGGAGAAGTCTCACTCAGCCTGGGCACGCCCACCCAGAACCCAGAGAGGCTGGACCAGGAACCGGCCACCTGCCATGCCTCCCCCCTCACCCGTCACCCTTTCTCTCCCTTTCTCTCCCCATCCCCCAGCCCATCATACTCCAGGACTTAACTATTTTTTCTTCTGATCATGTCCACTTTCCAGACTATAGTTGGAGACATTGATGAGGCCCTCGGCCTTCTCATCCTGCGGGATCACAATGTGAAGGTCAGCCTGAAACCCCAATACTCACAAGGCCCATAAACATAGTTACCTCTTGGTCTCCTGAGGGCAGTGGAGGGGACAGGGCACCTCCTGGGCTCTCTAATCACAAGTCTCTGAGTTTCTGGGGCTCAGGGCAGGAATCTGGGGTAGGACAGGAGGTGTGGCCAAGGGGTGCCTGAGCCAGGAAAGACATGCCTGCTTACGCATTCATTCCTTCAGTGGACACAGACGAAGCTGCCTAACATCCTGAGCTTTGTTCTCCTTTCCTGTTTTTCTTTTCCCTTTTCAGATGACTAACTTCCAGGTATGGCTTTCTCAGGAAGCTTGTGGACTTCTCAGGCTGGACTGGACACCTCTGCTGAGCTCCCACATGTCCCCTGGGCCTGTCCTTCATCAGTGTAGCACACCTTCCCTACATTGTCCTTGAATGTGTATTCATCCCTCTCCTCTGTTATCCTTGAAGCTCTGGAGGATCAGAAACCATCCAACTCTTCCCTGTGTCCCCAGTGCCCTGCCTAGAGCTGGGTTCAGGTAAGCACCTAAACGTTTGTCGAATGAATAAATGAATGAATGAATGGCCCATCACTGGGATGGACAGAATATCAGAAGAAGGAAGGGGAGGTGGGCAGAATAAAAGCGACTTTTCTCTGCATCTCCTGTGATACCTTTTCCAAACTGCTTTTACACACATATTAACTCATTTCTCTCCAAAGAAAGTCCTTGTTTTAGATGAGAACACAGGGGCCTGCCCGGGACCTCGGACAGGAGTGGACAGTGGAACAGAGAGAAATATCGTGCCCCGAGATGACTTGCTTGCTTCCCTCTGTGTATGAGTGTGTGTGCGCACACATTTATGGGGTCTCACCTGGGGCTGGCGGTACCAGTAGAGCGTGTGGCCCTTGAGCACAAACCAGCAGCGGCGCCATCGTGGGCCCATGAAGCCACCGGGTGCCTTGCGCAGCAGGAGCCAACCATCGCAGTCGGGCCGGCCCAGCTCCCGGCATGACACCCGCCGGCGGCTCAGCTGAGTGGCCACGCCTGCAACAGCACAGCAGGGCCCCAGCAGTGAGGGGCTGGCAAGGTGTTCCAGTCCCCCAGACCTGCTCCTCTCCCCCCACATGAGTGTCCCCAATGGAGATGTCTCAACCCACACTCTGCTCGGGATGTTCCATGCATCATTTCTGAGGTGGGATGACCCTTCCTATTTTAGTTTCATTTTAATTTTTTTCCTTATTATTTTTGATCTCCTGATATTGAATAAATGCTGTGGCATTTATTCTGCCCACCTTCCCTTCCTCCTTCTGATATTCTGTCCATCCCAGTGATGGGCTATTCATTCAATTATTTGTTCATTCAACAATGAATGCACAGGTCTGTCTGACCCTGGAAGCAGGCAGTTTCCAGGAGAGACTGACTCTACCTCTCTTGACCCTGAGGGAGTGAGGGGGTGGTCTTGCTCAGCACTGCAATGATTTCCTTTTTTTTTTTTTTTTGAGTTGGAGTCTCACTCCATCACCCAGACTGGAGTGCAGTGGCACATTCACGGCCACCCCAGCGTCGACCTTCTGGGTGCTGGCGATCCTTCCGCCTCTGCCTTCTAAGTAGCCAGAACTACAGGTACGCACTACCATGCCCGGCTAATTTTTTTATTTTTATTGTAGAGACGAGGTCTTGCCAAGTTGCCTGGGCTGTTCTCTAACTCGCAGTCTCAGGCAATCCACTCACCTCGGCCTCCCAAAGTTCTGGGATTACAGGCTGAGCCACCGACCCCGGCCATTTCTAAGAACTCCTCATATAGGGAACCCCACCCAGCCAGGTGCACCTCATACCTTTTGATTTCTTCCGACCAAGAACAGGACTCTGAAAGGACAAAATAAAGGAGCTGGAGAAGGGTCCAGGTCCAGAGCCACACCCCTCCCTGCTGAGCCCCTGAGCATACCTTGTCAGGACATCCTGGGGACCCCGCAGTCTCAGGAGTCTCTGCTACCTCTGCTGGGAATGTGGCTGGGGGCTCAAGGGAGATGGGCAGGGGCTCAGGGTCAAGAGAGGTAGAGTCTGTCAAGAAAGGAGAGTGAGGGAAGGTCCATGAGTCCCCTGGGGGGGGGTGAGAAATGGTGTCAGCATTGAGGGGTCAGAAGTGGGCACCCAGACGCCTTGACCAGGGCATCCATCACCTGGCGGGACTTGGAAACTACCTGTCCAGGCAGGGCTGGGCCCAGGGTTTGAAGTCAGGTCAAAGGCAAAGATGTCTTCAGATGGGGCCCTGGAGAAGGCAAGGGGAGATAAGAGCCCATGGTCTCTCCCAAGATACACTCAGGGGCAGAACCTCTTACCTGGGAGATGGTGGGACCAGAGACTGCAATTGGCTCCTCAAGTGTGTGGAGTCCAGGGCCTGCAGAGGTGTCTGGGGAACAACCAGAAACAGCGTGATGGGGTTGAGACGGGGGTCCAAAAACAAGCGAGGTAGGGCAGGGACAAGCAAGGCAGGAAGAGGGGATGCCCAGCCGCTGGATACAAGGCCATGGGACCTGGGGTCTCCTAGCTGAAAGGGGAAGCTCAAGAATTTTGACACTTAGAAGAGGACAGGAGGGAAAGGCATGCATGGTGTGGGTACCTGTGGGGGCGTCTCTGGCACTGGGATCTTCTTCAGCACTAAGCTGACCCCGGCTGGCTCCCGTAGCAGCTCCCTCACCACATTCTTATGGGGCCAGCCCACCTGAAGGACAGGGCAGGGGATGGGCAGAGACAATGGGCTGGCATCGAGCTGTGCAGGAGGCTCTGAAGCAACCCACCAACTCTCGTCCTCCCACTCAGAGCCCACCTCGAGTCTCATGCTTCTGCCTCCTCTCATCTACCTCCAGGGAGCCTCCGGGAATCCCTGCACCTCAACTCTGGGGAGGCAGTACTAACCTACCTGTGCTGGCTCACCTCGCAGACAGCAGCTCCCACCTCCCTGGTCTTCCTAAGGGGCAGATCCCTTGGCTGCCTTCCCCACCCACCAGCCCTGACTCCTTCTCAAACGCCCCTCAGTTCCCCACAGCCTTCTCCTCACTTACCACCACCTGCTCGTTGATCTGGATGACCTCGTCTCCAGGCAGAATCCGCAGCTGGGAGTCGGTGGGGACCTGGTATAGGGAATGGGGCCTGATGCTGGCTTGGCTGACAGATGAGAGGGCCTTGGGGGTGGGCCATTGAGAAAGGGGTGGGGATCTCACCTGGGGGCCCACTTGGGACACGAAGTGCTGGCAGCTGCTGGTGGTGTGGACTTCCAGGCCCTGCAGAGGCAGAGGCTGCAGTCACCAGGGGGTTGGGGGCAGCAGGGTTGTAAGGTCGATGGAACTGGGGAAACAACTGACCCCAAGCAGCACCGCTTCAACTTGCCATGTGACTTTGCACCCCTCTGGGCCTCTGCCTTCTCCTCTGATAAGGGCCAGAGGGAAGCTGGGGACACTGATTTGTAAGGTACCTGCTTCTCAGCAACTTTCCTGAAGGAATAAGAGGCTCTGGTTTCCCCAAACTGGTCAAAGATTAAAGCAAGGTCAGGCACGATGACTCACGCCCATAATCCCAGCACTTTCGGAGATCAAGACAAGAGGATTACTTGAGCCCAGGAGTTCGAGACCAGCCTGAGTAACATAGTGAAACCTGGTCTCTACAAAAAAAAACACTGAAAAATTAGCTGGACATGGTGGGGTGCCTATAGTAGCAGCTCCCTGCTACTTGGGAGGCTGAGGTGGAAGGATTGCCTGAGACCAGGAGGTTGAGGCTGTGGTGAGCTATGACCGTGCCACTGCATTCTAGGCTGGGTAACACAGGGAGAAACTGACTAAAAAAAAAAGAAAGAAAAAAAGATTAAAGCAGAAAAGTTCATGTCCACTCCCTTTCTCCCAACCTGCCCCTGAGTCCCTGCCAGGACTGTGTCCAAGGGCTGGAATGTGCCAGCTGGGACCACAGCAGCGCAGTCCCTCAGGCTTACAGAGCCATGGGAGACCCCAGGCAAGTCCTCTGGGGGCTTCCATTTTAACATTTGTACAAAAAGGCTTTTCAGCCATAGCAGCACGGGATTCTGTGGGATATTTCAGGGCCTGGGCAAAGCTGCCAAGGGTTAAAGTGACAGGTGAGAGGTCAGGGCTCACCAAAGGATCGTCTAGCTGTACCCGCTCGAGCACGGCCCTCTGTACCAGCAGCTCCTCGGGACTGCAGCTTAGGATGTTGTGGCAGATCCCAGCCACATGGCTGCACTGGGAGAAGGAAGCAGGTTGTAGATCCTGAGCCTGATCCCCCAACCCCACTCCCCTCTCACCCCCACAGACTCACGATCCTCAGGACTATGCTCTCCTTCTCGGCTGGTGAACAGTCCTGGAAGCAGAATGAGAGAGCAGGGGTCTCCCTGAGCAAGGGCGGTGAGAGGGCTGCCGTCTCTGGGATTTTCCGCAGTCCCTCCCTGCTGCCCCTATATTGGTCCCCTGCGCAGAACTACAGGGCCTTAGAATTTCAACCCCAAGGGCTCATCCCTCTAACACCCGGCCCCTGGAAGTCACCACACATGCCTTCCCCTCCTGCCCTGTCCTGAGTGTCAAACTTCTACAGTTTCCCCAGCCAGCTAGGAGATCCCAGGCCCCGCAGCCCTGTACCCAGTTGCCGGGCGTCCTCTCTTCTTGCCTCACTTGTCCTAGCCCTCACACCTGATCCTGGGCTGATTCACAAGTTATAAAAAGCTCCAGCCCAATTTGGTCTCTAGGGCACCGGCCAAGGCTGGCCCTTGGTTCTCCTACCTCCTGCAAGGCCTGGCCCAGCTCTCCGCACAAGTCCCCAATCTCCTGGCAGGCTGAGAAGTCGTTTAAGTGGGAGAAGAGGTACCTGGCAGGGGAAGGATGGTGCAGTGGTTAAGAGACTGTGCCAACCACTCAGTGCCAACTACTCATCTGCAACTTGGGGATATTACCTGCTCTCATGGGTCCAGTATGGAGTAAAAGAAATGACTGACACATCTAAAGAGCCTAGCACAGGATTTTTTTTTTTTTTTTGAGTTGGAGTCTTACTCTATTGCCCAGGCTGGAGTGCAGTGGCACACTCACAGCCACCCCAGCATCGACCAGCTGGGCTCCGGTAATCCTTCCACCTCAGCCTTCCAAGCAGCCAGAACTTCAGGTGCACACTACTACGCCTGGCTAATTTTTGATTTTTTATTGTAGAGACGAAGTCTCGTCAACTTGCCCGGGCTGGTCTCGAACCTGTGGGCTCAAGCAATCTACTCGTCTCAGCCTCCCAAGGTGCTGGGATTACAGGCTGAGCCACCAAGCCCAGCCACACAGGATTATTTATTTTGAGTTGGAGTCTCACTCTGTTGCTCAGGCTGGAGTACAGTGGCACGCTCACAGCTGCCACAACCTAGACCTGCTGGGCTCAGGTAATCCTTCTGCCTCAGCCTTCCAAGTAGCTGGAACTATAGGCACAGGCCACCATGGCTGGCTAATTTTTTTATTTATTGTAGAGACGTGGTCTTGTCATGTTGCTCAGGCTGGTCTCAAACCCCTGAGCTCAGGCAATCCTCTCACCTCCACCTCCCAAAGTACTGGGATTAAGTGAACCACTATACTGGAAGGATTTATTTTTCTTGTGCCTACTATGTACCAGGCCCTGTTCTAGGCACTGGGGAGACAGACATTAAAGTATACATAATTACATCAATAACGATTTAATGTGAACTTTAATGAGTGTTATGAAACTTCAAATCTCTGAGAGTATAACAGGAAGGCCTCCCTGAGGAGGTGGCATTTGAGGTGGGACCTATAGGGCAAGCAACAGCCAGTGAAGGGGCTGGGGAAGCTCACCATTCAATGGTTATTGATAAGATGGTTATGATTACAAGCTAAGGGGCGAGGTGGGAATCCAGGCATCCCAGTGGCCCTGCACAGACTGACTAACCTCTTTGCCCTGCTCTGATACATCTGAACAAGAGTCGGGATCTGTTTTTCTTCCTCAGGCCCTGGAGAAGGCCAAGAATAAGAAGGGTTCCCGCACCAGTCACCCCAACCCAGATACCTGTTGAGCCAGAAGAGGAGAGCACGGGCCTCGTGTACCACCTCCACGGCTGCACTGAGGACATCGACAGGGGTCTCAGCACAGTACCCCAGGTGGCCTTGGACCAAGCTCTGGAAGGCATGGATACCCTCCAGCAGTTCCTCTGTCAGGCTCTGTAGGTTCTCTGTCTGTAGCCTGGAGCTCTGTGCCAAGAAGAGAGCAGGTCACCTCCCAGCAGCAGCCAGTCCCCATCAGCAACCCCAGTTCTAGGAGCAGCAACCAGGGTGGCCAGCCTCCACTCACCAGGGCCTGGAGCTGTTCCACTGCATCCAGGATGAGCTCCTGGTGTCCCAGAGGCCACACGGTCAGAGCCTCCAGATTGCGGGGGCAGAGCTGGAGCAGGTACTTTCCAGGCAGCTCCCAGTCCTCAAAGGGATAGTCCTGCAGGGAATCATCAAGGCCTGGAGGGAGAGCAGGAGCCAGTGTGGTGGGAAACAAAGGTGTCATGACCCTTCAGGGCAGTTCTTCACTCTCACAAAGCCTTTTCTCTCCAATCTGTCCCTAATGACAACCCTGATGCCCAGGCTGTCAGATGAGGACCAAGTTGAAAAGCTGAGTAAGAAAGAGCAGTAGGCCGGGCTCAGTGTCTCAGCCTGTAATCCCAGCACTTTGGGAGGCCAAGGTGAGTGGATAGCCAGAGTTCGTGGTTCGAGACCCACCTGGGCAACTTGGTGAGACCTCGTCTCTACAAAAAATCAAAAATTAGCTGGGCATGGAAGTGCGCACCTGTAGTTCCAGTTACTTGGAAGGCTGAGGCGGATGGATCACTGGAGCACAGCAGGTCGAGGCTGCGGTGGCCGGGAACGTGCCACTGCACTCCAGTTGGGGTGACAGAGTGATACTCCAATTCAAAAAAAAAAAA